AAAGAATGAAGAGCCAGCTGTGCAGATTTTACTGTCAAATATTGTTATGATTGTAAGCGATTGTGTTGGATTGTGTTGGATGTGTTGTACGGTGGGTCCCCCTGGTGGTAAAAGGGGAAAAAGAGTGAGTAGTGCTTCGAGGTTGAAGAGTGCACATGTGGACTCCATGCGGAGTTCTGATATTTTTTTGGACACGTGTTTTTTTCCATGTTAGGAGTAGACTCCATGTGGAGTTGTGATACACACGTGGAATGTACTGTAAAACTGTAAAACAATAAAAAAAAAAATAGAACCAGCGCAAGTTTTATTACTTTATCTACAACAATTTTGGTGCCGCGAGCCGGGAGTTCATATTAACCCATTACAGTGACGTCATATTTGCTCCGTAACACTAGTCCCGCGGCCATGCTGGGGGGAATGAACGACGGGGAATAGTAGCGGTAATATAGGTGAACCAAATAAAATAAAATAAACTTCATATCGCGATCGAGTACACCAAAGGGAAAAGGATATATACAAGCTGAAGCTTCAGCTGCTCAGCAGGATCGACCAATATGAACTCAACACAGTCTATAAACATGAAATCCTACCAAATGTTACTTATCCAACATCGTGTTGTCAGAAGATAGTTCAGTTATCTTGTACTTCATTTTTCTTGTTCATTGGGTAATAACAGTTATAGTTTGAGAGAGTTTAATGTGTAATCATAAGTTTAACCTTACATAGAAGCAACTTTTTTCATAAAGGATAGATATAAGGAGAAATTTGAGCTGATCATCAGGATAAACCCTTGTGGACTCAAGGAAGAATGTATGCAGGATTGTCATAAAGTATGACGTGAAATATTGCTGTCAGTTATGACTTATCTCTACATCGTGAGGCTGTCAGAAATTATTTCAACATTCTTGTACTTCATATTGGTTCATAAGAAAGTACATGTAACAAGACTGTTGTTTGAGAGAGCTTATTATTCACCATGCAACCATTCATATAAGCAACATGTAAATTAATAGAAAGATGACAATAGTGATTTTTATTCGTATTGTAACTTACAACATTACAGTTGAAAGGAGCAGAATTTAACATTTTTACAGAGGAAAGTGCAAATTCATTGCATGAGGTTATATGTCAATTACACCTGAGGTAGAATTTACTTGCAAAATAAAATAACTCTTATCACTACACCAAATCGAAAATTAAGCCACTAACTTCCAAATGCACCTCATACAGGTAATTGATTTAATTGGCCCAGCTCAGCTGTGTGCAGTACAAATATAGCCTTGACACTAATTGGCAATAATGCTAACCAGGTATTAAAGAGGTAGGTGACAGCCGATAAAATCTAGAGAGCACCGTAACTGATAACAAATTACACCCAAGGCAATAGGTGACCCTTCATTATAAAAGTCGAAACCCTGCCTGGGTATTTCCACACGTTTTAACTGATTAACACACTCTCCACCCAAACTTTTTGGGCACTACTTTAAATATATATGAAGTGTACGTGCGCCCCAAATGTACACACCTAGGTCTTTGGTTTTCTACTGTTTTTTCTTTTATGGTAAAATCTGCACCGCTGGCTCTTCATTCTTTGCTATAAAATAAATTAGTTTTATTTACTTTTCCGAAGAGTCTTGATTCAAAGCCACCTCGCCGTCTCTCCTCCGTTTATGGTTTTAGTTCCTTCACCATGGATTGTTACCACTGCAGGCAGCCTGTGAACGCTTGTAAAGTTAGTTATCTTCTCTCGATCAAATAACCTGCAGTAATTCATCATTTTGCTCGGTTAAATATCAAAGAAAATACAGAAAACGAAAACTGAACTACAGACATGGCTTGTTCATGCGCAGCAGACGATTCCGGTCTCCCTCCAGAATGGCTGCCGTTTGTTTTGATGACGCAGGCTCTAATGGGTCAATTGCAGGACTACAGCGTCACGGATTTGAACGCTTGAAAAAATCCAGAGCCTCAGTGAGAGGTTGGGTGACTCGTTCATGTGAAAGAATATGAGATATTTTGGAAAGTGAAGAAGAGGATATTGACATTTTAAAAGACTGTGTATCGGATTTGGAAAAGCGGATATCTAAACTTGATGAAGTTCAAATGGATGTGGAAATGGAAATTGAATCAAGTGAGGACATGGAAGCAGACCAACGGGAGGCGGCAGCTTTCAGAGATGAGGCCAAGTCATGGTATGTTAAGGCCATGAGACGGGTACAGTCTATAAAGTCTCCACCTTCCAGTGACAGTACGCGTGAGGTGAGCAGTGCTACTAAAGATTGTACGTCTGCTAAGTTACCCAAAATAGATTTGCCAAAATTCTCAGGCAATGTCTTGGATTGGCCCGCTTTTTTCGATCAGTTTTGTGCAGTCATTGACAATAATAAGGACATTTCCACTATTTCCAAGTTTGCTTATCTGCGCTCTTTGTTAGAGGGAGAGGCCCAGGCCACCATTGCAGGTCTAACACTCACCAAAGACAACTACGAAGTGTCAAAAAGACTATTAATAGATAGATTCGGAAATAGTGAGAAAATCATTTTCAATCACATCCAGGAAGTATTGAAAATATCTCTGCCATCCAATCCAACCATCACACAGTACTGGAAATTCTACAATGACCTAACAGCACATGTGAGGAGCTTGGAAAATTTAGGAATTCATGGGCGCCAATATGGAGTTATCCTCACGCCCTTGGTGATATCAAGGTTACCACAGACCATGAGACTGGAGTGGGCTCGTGACAGTCTGCATCGGGAGAGTGATCTGGAATGGTCCATGGATTTTTTACATCGAGAAATTCAACGTATGGAAAGGTCACAGTCATTCACAATGGGAGTTACTACATGTGGTTCAACAGGAAAGTCAAAAACATTGCCATGTACTGCAGCAGCTTTGCAGACAAGTGTGAACAGTTCAGGTAACTCATGTGCCTATTGTCATCGTACAGGTCACTCTATTGGCCATTGTTTTGATATTACTACAGTCTCACCTAATGAGAGAAAGCGCATGTTACGTCAGATAGGTGCATGTTTTAGATGTTTAGCTGTTAAGAAGGGTCACAATTTTAGTACTGTAGGTGTAGGGTTACATGTACTAAATGCAATGGTAGCCACAACAAATTACTTTGTGGTGCATTTAAATCAGTCACTGAAGCATGCCCTGTTAGATCTGTAAAGGTCTTCGCTTTTCTGCCACCAGTGTACGGTTCTCTTACTTCGCTGCCACCAACAAAACAAGGTCGCTGTTTTGTAAACTTTATTTCTACGAATAACTCTCAACACAAATGTACATGTTTCTGTATCTTTTACTAAACACTGTCTCTATTCTTGCTGTACTGCTGTACTTCTAATTTAAACAACTGCAACTCAGCTACAATAACTAACTGGAACTATATTGTGAAACTGACTCAAACTAAGTTGTGAAACTAAGTCTGACACTATACTCTCACTGAGTACTGCCACTATACTCTACAGTAACTCTAACTGAACTCTAACTGACCAACACTGCGTAGAGCAGCTGTATTTATAGGTTTCAAAAGTGGACGACCTTGAATGGTTCACTGCTACTCTGACTGGCAGCCAGAGGAAAAGTGGACGGCCTTGAATGGTTGACCGCCAACCCCTCTACTGGACACCACAATCCCCTCTTTAGTAAACTGATACCACTTACAAGCCATTCCAACTTAAGGTTCAAAGTTCAACACACACAAGAATGTAAACAAAAGGCTACAGCTTACTGCAGCAACTTTACCATGAATTTTAAGGCTATGTAAAATCGTTACAGATCCAACTTAGGTGTAGGTCAAGGAGATTTATCTCCTGGGTCAGGTGGTACTAACCAAGCAACTCATAGGTCAGGTGTAACTAACCATTCACTTTCTGGGAAGGGCAAGGTACTTTTGCAAGTTGTGAAAATTCAGATTCAAGGACCCAAGGAGAGTGTTTTTGCCAATGTGTTATTTGATACAGGGTCTGATAAAACTTACATTTCCCAAGATTTGGTGAACAGGGTTTCACCTGAATGGGTTGATCATGAATGTGTTTCTTACAGTTACTTTGGCAATGAGAATTCAACCCAAACTTCATTTAGTGATGTTTACAATGTTGTCTTGAAAGAAAATCAGGGTGTAATTTCAATCATGGCAACTGGAGTCCCAGTCATTTCAGCACCACTTTCTTGTCCATTAGTACCTCCACATTTTTTTAATTCCCTTGAGGGAGAAGTGGTAAATGTGGAAAATAGTCCCGGGGAGAAGGTGTCAATTGATCTCCTCATTGGCCTGGATTCATATTGGCGATTTTTCACTGGTGAAACCGTGAAACTTTCACAACATTTGATTGCTCAGAAATCCATTTTTGGTTGGATAGTATCAGGAGTAGTGCCTGTTTCTGAGACCTCTTTTGTTTCACATTCTCATCAGCTATTCTGTTTATCAGACTTCTCTGAAAAAGCAGCCCATAGTTTTTGGGATTTAGAGAGTGTAGGGGTAGCCAAGGATGAGTCATCCTTTTCAGATGATCATTTGATGAAACAGTTTGAAAATTCTGTGGTGCATTTAGCCAGTGGTAGATACGAAGTTTCTCTACCATGGAAAAATGAATTTGCTAGAGGTTGTTTATTGGAAAATGAATCTCAATCCAGAAAGAGATTGAATAACACCTCTAGAAAACTGGCTAAAACACCTACGTTAGAAAAGCAGTATCATGGTGTCTTCAGTGAATACCTTGAAAATGGTTTCATTGAACAAGTTGAAGATATTCCCAATGTGTCTGAGCTGCCACACCCTGTCTATTATATGCCTCATAGGCCTGTTATCAAAGAGGGGAGTGCCAGTACAAAAATCCGCCCTGTTTTTGATGCATCATCAAAGGGTTACAATGGAATATCTCTGAATGATTGTTTAGAAGCTGGCCCTTCCCTGATTCCAAATCTCATTGAAATATTGATTCGTTTCAGACGTTGGCCAGTTGCTGTGTGCGCTGATATAATCAAGGCTTTTTTGCAGATTCAAGTGAAGCCAGAGGACCGTGATGTCCATCGTTTCTTATGGAATGATATGGGTACTGTGAAAACAATGAGATTTACGAGGGTTCCCTTTGGTAATAAGTGTAGCCCATTTCTGTTAAATGCCACAGTGAAACATCATTTGTCCCAATACCCTACTTCTCATGTAGTGGATGAATTGAATCAGAATTTGTATGTGGATGATCTCATTTCTGGATGTGATGATGAGATTGAAGCTTGTGCATTTATAAGAGAGGCAGACTCCATAATGCAACAAGCTAGCATGAAATTTTCAAAGTGGGTTTCAAACAGTGACACTGTGGGCGAGTTGCTCAGTCAGGAATTTAGTGACAGGTCTGTCACTGAAAAAATGCTTAAAGTCCTTGGCATACAGTGGATGCCTACAGAGGATTGTTTTTATTTTGATGGATTAGAATTGTCTTCTGATGCTTATGTTACCAAACGTGTTATTTTGAGTTATTTAGCACGTTTATTTGACCCTTTGGGGTTGTTGGCACCTTTCATTGTAGTGCTCAAGTGTTTGTTTCAGTCGCTATGGCGATTGCACTTAGACTGGGATGAGATTGTCCCAGATATCATTGCACAGCAGTTCAAGTGCTGGTTGCAGGGTTTGCATGCAGTGAGAGGGTGGAGAATACCTCGATGTTATACAGTGGGTCACTGGAATGATGTAGAGGTATATCAGCTTCATGCATTTGGTGATGCCTCTGAAAAGGCATATGGTGCCTGTGTGTATTTACGCACTTTGTCCAAGGATGGCATATGGCGTACTTCTCTGGTGTATAGTAAGACCAGGGTGGCCCCTCTGAAGCCTATAACATTACCTAGGCTTGAATTGTTGGCAGCATTGTTAGCTGCAAAACTGCTGTCCTTTGTGAGAGACAGTTTACATTTTTCAGCAAATGTTCCTTATACTTGCTGGACTGATTCCACCATAGTTTTATCTTGGATAAAAAGTGATCCAAGAAAATGGAAAACTTTTGTTTCAAACAGAATATCTGAAATTCAGAGTCTGACTGACCCATCTCAGTGGTTGCACTGTACAGGTAATCAGAACCCTGCAGACTTACTGAGCAGAGGTATCTCAGGTCCAGAGCTTTGTGTATCTGAAACCTGGTTACATGGACCAGTTTTCCTCCGTGAAATTAGACCAAAGATTTCTAGCATGAAAACTGTGTCAGAATCAGATGTGAATGAAGGGGTGGTTATTTCTGAAATGAAATCAAATCCTGTATTGCTCAAGTTTGAAACCCCTGATGTTGTTTTCCAGTTTGAAAAGTGGAGTACATTTACAAAGACCCTCCGGATTATGGCTTGGGTTTTGAGATTTATTGGCAATTTGAAAGCCAGTAAAGAAGCTCATTGTACTGAAGATCTGACACTTATGGAGCTTCAGGAAGCTAAAGTGCACCTGATATCTGTTGTGCAGAGAGAAAATTTCAGTGAAGAAATAGCCTGTGTTCTTGAGAAACAGTCTGTGTCAAAGAAATCCCCTTTATTTAAACTGTCACCTTTCATTGATGGTGATGGTTTATTAAGGGTTAAAGGCAGATTACAGTTTTCTCATCTGTCATATGAGGCAAAACATCCTATCATTCTGCCAAAGGGTCATTTTTCATTGTTACTCATTCGACATTTGCATAACACTTTGAAGCATGCAGGTGTGAACTCTTTATTGGTCAGATTGAGAGATGAATATTGGATTACTGGTGCAAGGCGCATGTGTAAACGTGTGAAAAGAGAATGCATCACATGTCAACGGTTAGATACTGCAGTTAGCAGTCAGCCGGTACCCCCACTTCCTAGTATGAGAGTGAACACTGCGCCACCTTTTTCTGTTTCAGGTTTGGACCATGGTGGTCCACTCTTTTGTTGTGATACTGGCAGCAAGAAGTTTTATATATTGCTGATCACCTGTGCTGTTACACGGGCTGTACATTTAGAGCTTGTATGTTCTCTTTCAGCAGAGGAAACTTTGAATGCAATTCGGCGTTTTGTTGCCCGTCGTGGTATGCCCTCAGTCATTATTTCAGATAATGCACGTGGATTTGTTGCAGCAAAGAAGCTTGTATTGCAGTATTTTGGTTCAAATAGTCCTAAGTGGCAATTCATTGTTCCTTTGGCCCCTTGGTGGGGAGGATGGTGGGAGCGTTTGATGGGATCTGTGAAATCGTCTTTGAAGAAGACTATTGGCACACGGTCTTTGACTAGAAGTGAATTAGAAATCACCCTGTTTGAGATAGAAGCCTGTATCAATTCCAGGCCACTTACCTTTGTTGCAGATGATGTTGAGGACCGGGTTTCTTTAACCCCTTCACATTTTCTTGTAGGAAGACTGTTAACCAGTGGTCCGTTGAATGATTTGGAAGAAATTCCTGATATGAACAATGTAGACTTGGTTGCCATGTATGATCATAGAAATCAATTGTTGAACAAATTCTGGGAAAAATGGTCATCAGAATACATTCGTAACCTTCCATCTTGTCAAAGTAGTGTTTCAGGTAGGAAAGGGTTAAACATTGGATCAGTAGTTTTAGTGAGAGACCAAAATTCTCCACGTTTATTATGGCCATTGGGAGTAGTGCAAAGGGTTTTTCCAGGTAGAGATGGTCTAGTTAGGTCAGTTGAGGTCAAAACTAGTAAAGGGTTAATTACCAGACCAATACAAAAGTTACATGACCTTGAAATTAGTAGTGGGGTAGGTTTAGAATCTTTGCCAGTAGAACCTGAGTTAGATGATCAAGGGGTTAACATTTCTACAGGAAAGCAACAATTTGACACTGATCATGCGCTTTCTCCCAACAACACAACTGAGACAGAAACTGCTCAATATTCAAGATATGGAAGAAAGATTAAAAAACCAACTATATTGGACTTATGAACTGTTATGATGAACTGTGGACTATCAAAGTGAACTGTGAACTATCTAAGTGAACTGTGAATGTTCAATGTGAACTGAGAATATTATTATCATGAACTGGAATTAAGACAAAGGACTGGACATGGACTTGATAATTGGCACACTATTAACCGTATTGTATTGCTAGTAATAAAGTAAGATTATTAGTATTGTAATTCATTGAAATATATGTAATATATTTCAAGGTGGGGAGAATGTCAAATATTGTTATGATTGTAACCGATTGTGTTGGATTGTGTTGGATGTGTTGTACGGTGGGTCCCCCTGGTGGTGAAAGGGGAAAAAGAGTGAGTAGAGCTTCGAGGTTGAAGAGTGCACATGTGGACTCCATGCGGAGTTCTGATATTTTTTTGGACACGTGTTTTTTTCCATGTTAGGAGTAGACTCCATGCGGAGTTGTGATACACACGTGGAATGTACTGTAAAACTGTAAATAATAAAAAAAAAAAAAAAATAGAACCAGCGCAAGTTTATTATTTATCTACAACAAATATTTTACACCTTCATATGCCAGCCTTTGATCCCACAAAAAAACTCCCATTTCTAAGGCGAGTACAAGAATTAAGGTGGTACATGTATCTTTTCATATCCACAGGAGTGTCTGAGGTTTCAGACAAATGGAGAAGTCGGCTGATCCACTGCATCAACAGATGTGACAGCTACTTCAATCCTGAGAAAGTCAAGATCTGTTCCAGTTATTTTGAAGCACTGTTTCATTAAATGTATGTGTACATTCAGGCTGTATAATTGGGGGATGAATATTATCTCATGAAAGTTTATTGAACTCGATTGAAATGAATTAACATCCCTTTCACCTCCTTATTACAACTTAAATTCAACATTGCTGTTTGCTTACCAAATGAGGACTTATGTCTCAGTTTCATAGCTTTATTTTTTACATCAGATATTTAGCAGTGCACACATGTATGGTGAAACTGATTGTAGTTACATACAAATTGAGACTATCCTTACTTTAAAATAGAAATCTATAAATAAAGAAATGTGCATAATAAGGCAGAATTTGTACATTTAGCATGTAGAACTAAAATGGCAGTCTGGAATAACAGAATTAGAGCATTGGAAAAATGTATCTGTATAGGAAATTTTTTCCTAAAGTTTTTTCATTTCCATCAAGTTGAACATAGGCTGCATTTGTAGTGATAGATGCAAGTCTGCCTTGTGACTTAGCAGCTTGCAATGTCTGCCTCTGGCTGTGTACTTTTATCTCCGAGTTGACTCAGTTTTTCCTTGTTATCACTTCCCCTTCATCTATGTTTCAGTTTGCTGACTACAAAAACCACCAATCATTATAGTGTGTGATGTCTACCTCTGTCCATTTGATGGAATCGACAACATTTTCTGCACTAGTAGGGCTGATGAAATGTGCATCCAGGGCTTAACTGAAGATCTCAACCAGTGATTGCGAAAGCCGTCGGACCACGGCCATATGCCGGCAAAAATTCTGTGGGCTGGAAAACCCTTATAACTCATCGGCCCACATGACCGACGGACTAAAGTTGATTTCTTTTACAGACACCGACTCATATCTGAATTTATCGTAAAGCTCTGACTACGCACTAGGCGCAAGTAAAATTTTAACCTGCGCCATACTGGAGCGTACAAATACATTTGTAATAAAGATCTTCATACATTATGATGTCGCTCGAAGTGCGCATAGAGATGCCGTGAGGGCTGACATGTGACCCGTTTCACAAAAAAATTATCGAAACTGAAACAACTACAGGTCAATGAAAAACGTACTGCTCAAGACACTGAAAACGGGCCGCTCAAACTGCTTACGACAGGCCGCGCACGGACCTCTGAGAACACCTAACTACATGTGCTGGGTAAACAAATATGGCTTCCGTCGCACCGCATGTTGAGTAACCGATAAGTGAAAAAGAGAAATATTCATTTGCTTTTTAGATGGGTGCTCTTAACTAATTTTAATGGATATTTTAAGTAATATTGCATCTTTAGCGGCGCTATATGTCAAAATGAGGAACAGCATCAGTGCGGAAAATTTGCAATGGCACAGTCAGGATGCAAAACTGTCTATTAATTCATCTAAACGAACTAGCTTAGCCTTAGATATTGAATAAAAATTATTTACAGACTCTGGCCCGTAGCCAGGAATTGTTCAATTACAAAAAATAGTTCGAAAGAATCGCCCCTTTTGCTGACAAAAGGTTCACCTTTGGTAAAATTTGATCTAGGTACATGACGTTTTTATGGAAAAAAGACCCCCCCTTTTAAAATTGCCGACTACGGGCCTGCTATGAGAGCAATGGCTTTTTTTTACAATAAGAATGGGAATTGTCTACCTTTTCCATGTAGTGCAATTATTTATTCTGAAAGATTTTTCCATTAAGTACAATTTTTTGGACAGTACAATTGTTAATTTTGGAAGATTTTTCCATACACTACAATTATTTAGGACTTCAGAGTAGAAGCATCAAGTTTTTTATTGTGTAGCGATTTGGGGTGAGTGCAGAAAAATCACCGACCAGGCCAGGAATCGAACCCGGGACCCCTCGGCCGGTTCTACCTGCCCCTGGCACTACAATTGTTTTTAATCATATAAAAATATTGAAATATAATGAATTTTCTCTAAATAATTCACGGCACACATTTTTTAAAAATGGCCCAATTTCTTTTTTTACCAAGTGGGCCAAAATGGCCCAACCAGATTTTGACCCAGGACGATCCCTGCTAACAGACAAGCATTTTTCCAATAGTGAAAATCTAAAAAAAAGTTAGAAAAGTTGGAAGCTCCACTTTACTATGACTTATATTTAATTTTAGGCAAAAATTGGAATAGAAATTTACAAAGGATACATGATCTTGTGTTAAAAGATAAGAAATTAAGATAAGCAACCCAGATGTAAAAAGGATAAAACTTAAATGCCAGATAGCATCCAAAATGAAGGATGTTTAAACTTAAACCTCAAATATTCTATTATATCTGGCCTGAAAATTGAAAAAGCAGCGATTTAAAATGCCAGGCAATAACATTCATCAAAAATGAAGTGAAAATATACAGCTTGATTATTTTATTGTGGGCCGGTAAAAAAAGGTGTGGGCTGACAAAATTTAATTTGCTCTAGCCCACATGTCTGGTAAGTCTTCAATCTCTTTCGCAACCACTGCTCAACTGCCAACCAGACTGCTGTAATGTCTTGTATGCTGGTTGTAGCAGTGAAGATAGCTGACTGGGATGCCTCTCTGTTCAGCCTGAAGACCTTGGACTTCTTTACCAAACAGGGAGAGATATATTGTCCCAAAAGTTTGCAGAAACCTGAAACTAAATTAGAACTGTATGCTAGTGATGCACGTTTTTTAAAAATACTAATGGCAGAGTACAACTAATTATGTCTGACTCCAGATTTTGACATATCCAAGAATATTGCTGTTTGAGAAATCCGTTTCAATACGACATCTTTATTTTTAACTATGGCTATGTGAAACATTGGCTTTTAAATGTATACTGACAGTCAATAAAATCATAGCATTTATTTATCAAATAATATTTTAAGTTCCTTTGGCACGATAAGAAAATGACAGTTTTCATGTGAAATATGACACATTATTCAGTCACACATTTCACTCTTTTATGACCAAAAGAGAGTTGGAATCGATTCTCGTTAAAAAAAGGACAAGAAAGTTTTCTGATGCACTTTCACTGACTGTCACCATATATTAAAGAATAATCCATAGTATAACATGAACAAGAGCTGAGAAAAAATAGAGTATGCAGGCAAGAAAAAGTTACCATTAT